TGACATGCAGCTCGCGCAGTTTGCCCCTCGCTCAGGCACCCAGCAACCCTGGACACACGTGCCGCCCCACCTCTCCCCACCGCACACTCAGCGTTTCACCCCAAAACGCTGCCTACAGTCACCTCTGGGGATGGATCTCCCAGGGGTCTCACCTGGTCTTGTCCACCATCATCACTGCCGCGGGGGTGCTGCAGGCGGGCAGGGGAGCCTTGGCACTGCCCCATCCCTGGGCTGGCCCTGCAGGGCTCACGGAGAAAAGCAACCCCTGCAGCAGTATGGTCAGACATAGCACAGCACAGGGCAGGCAACTGCCTTACTCTGGCCAAAATTTCCCACAAAATCAGCCCCTTGTGCATTTTCCTTCCCTTTTTCTTGGTGCAAAAGGCCGGAAGGATGTTTCTAAGGGGGTTTCCTACATGTAGAAAGAAGTCTTGGGCCAAGCCTGTGTTTAACTGGAAGACTTTAGGAGCACGACAGGAATGGGCAGGATGGGTACTGAAGGTGCTCGTCTGAAGCAGGGGCGGGTTTCCATGGGCAGCACACACTCACACATTCAGCTCGTCGGTCCAGCACACGCTCGGGAGAAAAACCCTCCATGTCAAGCTGTGCGAACAGCTGATGTGCCACGGCACGGGTGAGGCAGCTCCCCGTATCCACCCCTCTGGATTGCCTAAGGAAAACCAGGCAAAACCAGAGCAGGCAGCACTAGATACTCCCGATGCTCTAAATTCAGACAATCCTCACTTTTTTATGTACAAAAAATCAAAGCAATTTAGGCACTGTCTCTTTCCCAGATGCCGCTCTTGCTCACCAGTGGCCACCCCTGCTTTACCTCCGGCGGGCGCAGGGTCGGGCTGCGTGTTACACCGCACACCGTGTTCAACAGCACTGTGTCCAGAACAGCCCGGGCTGCCTTGAACTGGGAGATTTATGGTGTCCCGTACGGGGTCAGAGGCAGCCGCGAGCTGACAGCCCCTGTGCCCCCTGTCCTCAGCAAACAGGCTCAAGTGCCAGTCATGGCTGTAAAATCAAGCCGGTGCGGGATCACCCAGGGGTGGCCACACTTCGCCTGACAGCGGATGACAGATGATGCTCCTGCCAGCCATCCTCGGGTCCACAGCCAAAGAAAGTCTCCACAGCCCCCATCCTACCCCACCTTTGGGCAGGGGAGAGACACGAGCAGGTTGGTGACAGCAGCCGGGGACTGGCAGCATCACGGCTGCCAGGCTCTGCCCACCTCTGCTGCTGCCTCAGCTCATAGCTATGATCTACTCCTTGCAGGGAAGTCGGGTGCCTGCGCAGAGGCATTTGCCTCCTTCCCTTGGTGCTTCCCAGCCCACCATGGGGTCACCCATGTTTGCATCAAGAATGACACACACCCCCTTTTGTTTTTTAAGTAAAAAACAAACCTTTTTGGAAAGCCTCTCTCCCGTGCAAGGCAGCACAAGAGAAATCAGCCTTCCTATCAGCTCCTTCACAGGCCATCTGAGCTAAGCTCCCTGGTCCACAGGGTGAGGGTCCCCTCCATGCCCAGGCGCTGAGGCTAAATGGCTTGTCTGGCTCTCCTGCAGAGCAGAGAAACCCCAGCCCGGCACTCCTGAGACCAGCTGGGCCCCAGGCCAAGCTGCTATGGAGCTGGTGGAAGAAATCCCCTCCCGACAGAAAGACCTGGGGACCTGCTGTGTCCCCAGTGCTCCAGGCAGCTGTCAGGCTGTGATCCCTGGAGGAGTCCACCGGCATGGTGTGATCCCTGGAGAAGGCTACCAGCATGGTCCCATCAGGTCCCGTCCTGGTGCCCCACTGCTCCATTGCCCTGACCTGTAGAACCGGGACCGTGTTTAGGCTGGGCAGGCACAGGAGTGTGTTTCCCTCAGAGAATAGCTCATGTATTTTACATTCTTCAGGGATGTTAAATGCTGCAGATGAAGCACTGAACGCCAGAGATGTGAGCTGCAGTCTCCTCACCCCTTTTCCTGTAAAGCTGAGGGTGCCCAGGCACAGCCGCAGGGCTGCAACACCAAGAAGCAGGAGCTGAGAGAGGACCCAGGATGTGGAGATGGCTGTCCCAGCCCAGCTGGGGTCCAGGCTTGCTCTCAAACCTTCCCCACCTCCACCTCCCCTTTGCACCCCACATAGAGCCTCCTGGCAGCCGGGAGCTGTGGGGGCAGCTCCTGGAGCAACCTAGACTGCAGTCTAGCAGTGAGCAGACCGGGAGAGGATTTGAGGAGATGGAGGGGGCAGCAGGCGAGGGACTGTGAGACCCCCTGGGAGGGGTCTGCCTGTGCCACTGTACAGCAGAGACTGGAGAGAGCGCAGGGGTGCTGCAGGGGTCTCTCCCCATTCCCCCTGTGACCCTCAGCACTGCAGCCCCCCCACCCGGGGCCACCCCAGCACCATCCCTGCTCTCTCCCAGGCTGTCCCTTCGCACATCTGCTGGACACAGCCAGGTCCCAGCTCCAGCTTCCAGTCTGCTTCTTCTAGGGCATCATCCCCGTCTGGCCCAGTCCAGGTCAGAAGTGATCCACAGGCACCCCTCTCCTCCTGCAGGGCAAGGGACGGCAGAACAAGCCCCCGCTCCCTACAAGAGGTCGAAGCCAGCAAGGTGTAGCTGTTACCAGCTCCTCCCTGAGCATTGGCCTAAAACCTCCCCACTAGCATCATCTATTTCAGAAAGGCAGAGCCAAGAAAAGCAACACCAGCCACGGCTTTAGGGGCAACCAGCCCACATGGGGGCAAGTGGAGACAAGGGCTCCTAGCAAACTGGGAGTCCATATCACAAGAGGAGGCTGGGAGAACTCGGGGTGAGGGGTAGCCAGCAAAACACCTGCGGGAGGTTTGGGTTGAACAACTCTTTACCAGGGGAAACTACCAGGCAGAGAAGCAATCAGGACATTGCTGTCACTCACAGAGAAGGGCGACCAGGCACAGTTCCCTGCTCCTGCCAGGCCAGGGACATAGACAGGACCACAGCGCTAATCCCGATTGATGGAGGAGAGCAGCACCTGCAACGGCACACTGCAACACTGAGCTGGCCGGAGAGCGAGGAGACCTCCTCTCTGCAGGCACAGACGTCTCGGGGAGTCTGCAGAGCAGTTGTCTTTGAAAGGGGACAGACAGTGTAGGAAGTGGGGTGGCTGCCACAGGGCTGAGGGTTAGCCAAAGGCTGGGGCACACAAAGACGAGGACACCAGCACGTAGGCAGCACTGCCCTGCACCCGAGCATCTCCCTCCCCTCCAACACCATATGACGGAGAGCCAAAACACATGAAAATCAGGATCCTGTAACACTTTACAGCTGTACCTGGAGGATGCTTGGCCATAAACCGGCTTTTGCCACCCCAGAATAAACACATGGAGGCTTCTCAGCAGAGCCAGATGGATGCTAGCCCGCTCCACTCTCACCCTTCCCAGCCCCAGCCCCACAGCCCAGCACCCCCAGCCCTGCCCACTGATCCTTCACAAAGGGACCGCAGCATTAATGGGGCGTTTCGGAGGCAACAGCAGCTCCTCCATGGCTGAGCAGCACTGAGCAGCCTGGGGCAATCCCACTGCTCGCCATTAACCTGCCCCCCCCCCCGAAGGGAAGGAACTTGGCCGAACCCCACCGGGATGTGTTACATGGGAATGACCTTGTCTTCGCTACCCACAGCACCAAGGCAGCCCCGGGGCAAACGAGGAGCGGGGAGGGGAGACACAGCCCGCTCACAATTAATTCTCCTCTCTATTCAATTACTAGCAGCAGGGTTGAGGCATGTTTCGTGGGCGGTGGGAACGTCAGGCCAGGACACTAGCCCTGCATTCCCCCTGGAGCTGTGCCCAACCCTGTGCAGGACCAACCTGGGTGACGTGGACCTGTTAGGTCTCCAGCAATCCGCTCTCACGGCTTCATTTCAGGGAACTGGGTTCACTCCTCTGCCCTTTGGAGGTGGTTTCATCACCTCCTGTCCCTCCTGCCCAGCCGTTTTCTGGAAACATGGCCTTTGCTTCCATAATTTCAGGCTGTGCTCCTGGAAGTGCTGGTGTCAATACTGGCTCCATCATCATCCAGTGGCCACGTGCTGACTCCCAAGCAGCAATGCTCCTGCAGATCAGAGGAGTCACAGCTGGACTCTGCTTTCCATCCAGGCTGGGTGATTTGGAGAAGAGCTCACCACCCACATCAAAGCAGCAGGGGCAGCCTTGGGTGGTTCAGCACGTGGCAGCTTCACTCCTGGTCCCCAGGCAGAACTGGAGTTCATCCTGGGCAGTCCATGGATGCATGGAGGGATTTTCCATCGGTGTTAAGCATCTGTCTCATGGCTACGTTTGGCTCTGCCAAGACTAGCACTGCTTTCGGCTCTGGCATCCATACCCAGCACATGGCAGGGGTTCAGAGCTGAGCCAGGCACATGGGTAAAGATCTGGCAATACTGAGCGAGGCCAGGAGCCTTGTGGAGGACAGTGATGGGGAGACACACCCCCAGGCCCCATCCACCCACAAGGAGAGAGAACTGGGATGGCTCTGTGGCCAGAGGAGAGGACCAGCCAGAGCTTGGGAAGGGGTCCACACAGTCCTACAGCTGTGCTTGAGGTAGGCAAGCCAGAAACAAAGACTGAAGGCTCCCAGCAGGGGCAGTTCACGTGAGAGCAGCTCAGGGAGGTGGCATCCCCAGCCCAGAGTGATTTCAACCCAAGGTTGGGCATTCTTGTGTGAATCTGCTCTACCTCTAACAGGGGTCAGTAAATGAGCAGCCTGACCAAGAATGCCCGTGACACATGTGCATGGGGAAGGTGTGACACACATGGACATGTGGATGAGGATATGCATGCTCGTGGCATTTAAGCAGCTCCACTTCATTCCTCGCCCCATTGCACAGACCAAACAGCACCTCCAGCACCTGGTCCCAAGGCATTTTCCGGGCTGGCACAACTTCCCCAGCATCATAGCCCCAGCCCAAGCAACAGCACCCTCCTTGAGGTCTCCAGCCACACACCATCAGGCAGGGCTGGGAAGGGGGGTCAAAGCCAGGCTGGGTGGGAGGGGGCTCCACTGGCCACCCAGGAAGGTGGAAGCCATCACTCAACGCCGGGGGTCACTGTCCTCTCCGTGGGATGGACTCTCAGAGGCTCCTGCTGGGCCATGAGGAGCTGAAATAGAGAGAAGCAAAATGCTGGACCTTTGCTGCCCAGCTTCAGCCTTGGCTCCCAGCCAGCTGGTCCGGGCGATTTGGCTTTGGCTTGGGTTCTCTTAGAAAGAGGATGCCTGCGCCCAGCCTGCGGGGGGGCTAAGCCTAAAACTAACAACGGTGGCTGGGGGGGGGCTGTCCGTCGGCTGTAACTCTACCTTCGTTTGTTTGCTTACAGCATCCACCCAAAATGCCCGTGTGTGTCAGTGGGCCCCTGTGTCAGTGGCAGCTGAACTGCTGACCCCAGGAGTTTGCAAAACACCAGGGTTATGGCCCCTTTGACATCCCAGCCCGGCAGAGCCGCAGCTCGTCCTGACCCCAGCCCTGGGGAGCCAGCCCCCAGGGCACCCCACACGGCCCAGCAAGAGCTGGGGGGAGCAGAGGGAGGTGGCGGGGCCAGTGAGAGCAAACCCCAAAGAACCGGCGAGGTGGGCATGCTCCCCATGGCACCTGCTGCTCCCCTGGGTTGGCCACAGCCCCTCAGTTTGCTGGCCAGCCCCACAGACCTGCCCCAAAGCCCCCTGCTAGCACTTATCCAAGCCCAGCCCTTCAGCTCCCATCAGCCATACAGCCCCCACTCCCCACTGGCACTGGGGCTGGCACAGGAACCGTGCCCCTCTCCAGCTCTCCTGCCCAGGGCCCTGTCTGGTTTCTGTGCCACTCTGCACACCTCTGTGTTTTGGGAAGGCGAGGAGCATGTAGTCCCAGGCAAAACCACAGCCAGAGCCTGGGGGCAGTCTGTAACTGGTTTCTCCCAGACACTGTCTGTGGCAGGGGACTTCGCACCATCGTGGAGCATGGCCATGGCATGCACGAGATGCCCAAGCTCCCATCACGGTGCAGACACCATCTCCAGGGTCTGCAGGGATGGATCAGGGCTGCAGAGAGCCAGCCTAGGCACAGGAGCAAGCACCCAGGGAGTTCAGGTGGGGTTTGAGAGCTCTCCAATGACTCTGCTCCCACTTTTTCCCCAGGAGCCAAAATCCCATCTCCCAAGGGCCCAGCCCCACCACAGCCTTGCCCTGTGAGCTGAGCACCAGGAAGTCTAGCAGGGCAGACACGCCATAGACAAGATCCCTGTCCCCTGTGCTCTCTTCATCCTCTGTTCTGCCCTCAGCAACAACCCTCCTATCCAGCCCCAAAAACCTTGTGTGCTGCAGCTTGGGGGTCTCCACCCCCCTGAGAGCCCATCAGGGGAGCAGGGGCTGGAGGCATGGAGGGGATATGGGGTGTCCCACAGCTCCTATGCAGAGCCATCACCAGCAAGGACACTGCGGAGGCCAAATCCTGCCCATCCAGCCTAGGGCTCTGCCACCGCTGGGGCTGGAAACAGAGGACCGCAAGGTCCCTGCGGTCCCTGCATCGAGGTGCCTCCCTGGGAGGATCCCTCCAGCAGATCCGAAATCCCTTGGGGCACAGCCCAGCCACTGTGGGCAGACCCCGTCCCCCCAGCTGCCACCAGCCCTGGCAGGGAAGCGCAGTGAGCGGTGACGGTCCTGCCAGTGTCAGGGACAGCCCAGCCCACAGCGATTAGATTCGCACCTCGGAGGGGTCGAAGGCCAGGACACCTGCGACCTCCGGGTATCTCGGCTGCGGCTGTCTAGAGCAGAGCTGCTAACACCACCCTGATGCAAGGCAGGCTGCGCTGGGGATGCAGGAGGGGACGGTGCGGGATGGCTGCAATGGAGCCTCGCCCAGGCTGTCTTGCATGAGGGTCTCTACCACAGCCCAACCACGTTCACCTTTAGCACCTGCTTTATGTGTTTGTGAGTTTAAACCCAACTCATGGCACAACCCCTGCTCCAGCATCAGTCCGTGCTCCCCCAGTACTTTCTGCTGTGCCCCCACTGCAGACCATAAAGCCACAGGTGTCGCAGCAGCACCTTCGTGGAAACAACCCCCTCTTGCACTCTGGGCAGCACTGTGGAGCTGGGGACATGCATCCCCACTGCAAACAGACATGCTGAGCAGATATCACAGCCTGCGAACGCCTGGAGCAGAGCCTGGCCGTAAGCAACCTCCTGTGCTGGGATGTGCAGCTGGGAGCAGCCGTGGTAAATCCACCCGCTGTGCAGCCAAGAGCTGGAGAAGCCTCTTCTCCCTCAGAGCAGTCGGTGGGGTGAACACCCACATGTCCAGGCTCCCAGCCAGCTCAAGACACGCTGGAGAGGAGCCAGCATGTGACCGAGCACCAGCGAGCAGGAGATGACCCCAGACCTGAGTTTTGGCTTCTCCAGCAGACAGGGCTGTTCCCACAGAGTGCACCGGTGGCATTTCCCTCTGCAAGGTATGTTGACGGGAAGAGGATGGGAATTACCGGCAGCCTGGCCCTTCCAGATCCTGCTGCTTCCTCTCTTGGTTGCAACGTGTCCCCAGCTCAACTCTGCCAGGGCCAGCCCTGCACGTCTGGGTGCCGGCGGCTCCCTGAGGCAATAGCAGAGGTACCTGTGCCCACTGCCTGGCAGGACAGAACAGGGATAGCACAGCTAACACTGCAGAGAATGGGACACTCATCACACCCACCACCAGGGTGGTCCTGGCTGAGGGTGGCTCTGCTGGCCCTTTTCCTGGCTCCTGCTGCCACTGAGGTGCCACCCACCCCACGGCTCTCTGCCCCACCTTGCAGAGCCGCTGCACCCTGGGATAACAGGGGATGCTGCATCTCCAGGGGTGTCCTACTGGCTTCCTCTGTAGCCCAGGCAGCCAAGCCTCAGAGAAAAGCAGTATTAACTGCAGTTCAGTGTGGGAACCAGCAACAGAGAGCTCATGGAGCAGGGGACCAGCCCCACCTACAGCACGGTTACAGCTGCGCCTCTCAGCCGCCCTGGGGCCGAGTTGAAACCCAGCAAGAAAGCCATTGGGGCAGGACCATCTGAGGCATCACAAGGAAAATCGCTGCCTGGCCACGCTCAGCAGAGCAGCTCCCCATCCCGCTCCTCCATCCCTGAAAAAGCAGCTCAGACCTGACCTCTGAAACCAGAGCATCCCCTGGGAGCCGCTGGCCAAGCCCAGCCACCCAGCTGGAGACAGGCAGACAAGCCCCAGCCCAGCGGGGCTGCACCTGGGCCAGACCCTGCAGCGAGCAGCCCAAGCCCCTCACTGAGCACAGCAGGCCAGTTCAGGAGGGCCATGGAGAGTGCGGCGGTGTGGGTGCATGGGCGTAGTGCTCATGCATGGCGACCTCCACATCGAGCTGTGCTGTGGCCATGTTTCTCTGCTGCATAGCTCAGCCAGGGTTCCCCAGTGCTGCTGGAGCAGGGAGGGATGCATCCCCAGCAATGTCAGCATGCAGAGCCCCAAAATGCAGCAGAGAGGAGGGATGCTCAGAGCTAACCACCTCCCAGAGCAACCCCAGAGCCATCACCTGGGTTGGGGCACCATTTGTCTCCCTGGGTCCTGGCACCTCCCACCCGGGAGAGTGACGGGCTTCGCACCCTTACATACATCTCCAGCATGGGGAGCCCGCATAGGTACCTAGGCACACAACTTCATTTTTCCCCCCACCCTATGCAAAACAAGGCAGCCCTCACACTGGGAGCCCCATGCTTCACTCCCCGCACACAGAGAGCCTCCTGCCCCCCGCCACCCCTGAGCACCCCCCAGCCCTGCCATGCCCGAGCTCACCTGCTCTTAGACAGCCCTGTTTGTTTGTGCAAGGTATTTGCAGCCGGGGGCACCTGCTTTGATACCATCAGCTCCGTGAAGGAAGCTGCTCACCTAGCGTGACCCCTGTAATCCCATCCTTCCCCATTAAGCGCTGTGTGTGAGCGCATCCCCCCTCCCAGCCTCCTGCCATCTCAGCATTTATCTCCCTCTCCCCAAGCTGAGCACATCAAGGCTGTGGCATTGCTGGGGAGGGGGAAGCAAACCTCCCCAAGTGACTCAGAAAGGGTCCTGGCAGTCCCAACACCCCCCAGCCCCTCCATTGCCCCCTCTGGGATTGGGATGTTCCCTCTCCCCTGGCATCGCCCTGCAGCAGTGCTGGGGACCAGGCAGCACTTGTGGCGAGGCTTTGGGGATGGGCTGGTCCTGCAGTGGGGTGGACAAGCTTGGTCTCCTCAAGCCTCCTGCCACCAGCACCATGTCCCCCATGGTGCCACCTTTGCTCCCTGGCAGGACTGTCCCTGCAGCCACAGCCCCTTGTCCCAGCTACCTAGACATCCCTAAGGAAACCAGCACCCTGAAACAGTCTCCTTCTACCCTTTAAGAGGCCAAATGTTCCTTCTCAGCCAGCACTGCCTCTCCCACCCTGTGTGAAGCAGCCGTACGACCCTGCCAGGGCTGAGCTGTGCCCACTCCCTCCCCTCATCACCCCTCACCAGGCTCAAAGCCAGCCGCCTCCCCCAGCCCACCCTTTCAGGAGCACCTTGTTAAAAATGATCTACTGGCTCTTATCTCCCCTAGCCAAGCTGCTCCTCCGTGGAGCGCAAGGAGGACCAAGGCCTGGCAGATGAATTAGCCCTGACCCCTTCCAAGCACACACAGCCAAGATCTATGAGGTCCTGCACGTGCCAGTCCTGGCAGGGGCTGGGCACCATTCTGGCACCGGCACAGCCACAGCTCCGTTCACCACCCCAAACTCCTCTCCTGCAACATCAGCACAGGGCACCGGGGCGCTGTGCCCTGCCAGTGCCTCTCAAACAGGCATCCAGCCCTCAGGGAGGATGCTCCTGCATCTCTTCACTCGGCAAGACTACCGAATCGCCTCACTTCCTACAAACCTCCCCGGGGCAATGAAATTTGCAGGGGGATCTCACAGTGCTTGTGGGCACAGGCACAGACCACCGGCCCCGGGCACCCTATTGCCCTGGGATGGCAGGAGGAACGATACTTCCCCAGGGACACGACCTCTTCCAGCTGGCACCCATCCTCCCGGTAGGG